CAAGGTCTATGGTTCCCACTGCCCTGATCCACTGCCCTTTCCAGATGCTCCTTTGTGATGCCCTTCCTGCGAGGCTGAGTGGCCAACTCAGTACTTCACTGCCAGCACGGCAGAGTCACCCGGCACGTCCGTCGGCCCCTGAGGCGGGCGGGATCCTGGCACAGGCCCTGCTGGACCTGGAGAGCGGGCAGGACGCTGGGAGCTGGACATTCCAACGGCAAACCTGAACTTTGGTCAAATAAACCTAACTGCCCCCCAGCAGGCAACTCTGGTTACTGGGCCCAGTGTGCCGAGAGAGCATTCCTGGAAAACTTCCACAGAGCAGAAAGCATGAAGATTAAACCATTCTCTCCTCCACGCTCCCCACACCCCCCCCCCCCCGGAGAGGGCAAGCCATGGAAGATAGTGCGAAAGGTCTTTTGTGAACTTAAGGTGGCCTTGGCCTCCAGGGATGATGCCATGCCCGAAACCCAATACTGTAAAAATCAGAAAAACAAATTCAGAAGAGGAAACAGCGTATGTATGCACCGTGAGACTGATGAACTCGGGGAAGGACCCTGGCTACATGTCCATCCAGGGCACGGAGATCGCAGGGAAACCACATCCCTTTGTTCCATCCCGGACACACCTGAGCATGAGCAAGCACTGACCCTGTCATAGGTGCATGTGAACCCCGTCGGAGACAGGCGTGGACGTGAGCAAGCTCTTTCTCACCCATCACCAAAATGGAGTCCGAGCATTTTCTAAATAATGGAGTGAATGAAAACTTATTTAACGTTTTGTGTGGCAGGGCATATCCAATTGTGTCTCATTACAATATTGTGCATTAACAGAAACCTAAACTTCCTATCGGAAATGGTGTGCTAGCTTACTGAACATTCCTTGTAAAGGAATAAACTAAATAAAGAAATAAGATTGGATTGTCTGTGCTATGGCCAAAGATAGCTAAATTTCTAATTACAGATTTAAAAAAAACTGAAATTAAACAGTTAAATGCTTACTATTGAAAAAAAAAAAGTAGGCCAGAAATTCTTTTCTGAGCCAATGCATCTGCGAGTTCCGAGCACCCAACCCTGTCACTCTTTGGCGGGCTCAGTGGCTCAACAGCTGTGTTCCCAGTTGTGCAGAATGAGATGAGGGCTCCACAGAGTGCTGAGGTTGGGACCTCCCCAGCCCTGGCCGGGTCTTCCACCCGGCCACAGGAGTGCGGGCTAGCTGGTCCTAAAGTCAAAATCTACTGACGCTGACCCTTCTTCCAACAGACAGAGCTCTGAAAAGTAACAAGCTTTGCCCATGCTCATCCTCACCTCTGAGGAGCAGGCTCACACCTTCCCTTCCCACAGCGACCTAGCAATCCCACCAGCAGCGACTTCAACGGATGCCACTCATGGCTTAAGATCGTCGGCTGCAATCCCATGTGTGATTCTTCCAACCCTTCCATGTTAATCCAAGCTCCTCCCCTCCTACCTCCCCACCCCCTCCCCGCTTCTTCCTTCTCTCCCTTCCCCTAGCTCTCAGAGGCTGACAGATCATCACCCTTCTGGTCTAGTGAGGCAACAGGGCTACAGTCCCTGCATCCCCTGAGCCCCATGAGTTCAGGGGAGCAAGGCGTCTTGGCATTCCCCATGTCTTGCTACACTTTTTCCATCATCTCCGCTGTGTTTTAATACTTGTCTTCCCTTCTTCACCCGTTGCTAGGTAACCAGTGTGTGTTCTAATGCTGGCCGGGCTAAGCATGCCTTAGAGCTCAGGAAGGTGCTGGGCTTCAGGGCATGGTCTCCTGTCATTGACTGTGACCACTCAGGAAGGTGCTGGGCTTCGGGGCATGGTCTCCCTGTCATTGACTGTGACTGTGTCTTCTCATTTCCTTCTTAGAGCTCACCTGTGTGTCCCAAATGCTTCCAGTTCAAATGTCATCATCTGGAAAGGAAGGAAGCATTACCTCATGTCTACTCAGCAAGGTGAGGAACGGTGCAAAGAAGACACATGGGAGGATGAAGGAAAGCACAGAGGTGATAGAGGAGGCAGCCAGCCGCAATGAAATGGTGATTTATTACCCGGGTTTGGACGTCCCAGTTCTCCCCCAAATGCAGACCAAGTCAGAAAAGGCTGAGAGTCTCTTCTCCATAGTTAAGAATATCAGGGGAGTGGCAGGTCCTATGCATCCCTAACAGAAGCTGCACACAGTTCTAGCCCAAGTTCCCAGCTCCGACTTCCAGAACATTTAAAGTTTAGAACCTTTAATGCAGCAGAAACTCACCACACTCCACAGAGAAGTACCACCCTAAGTCAGGTGAGAAACTAGGCACCACTGTGAATTGGGGGTGGGGTGGGGGTGTCCTGCAAGGCAAGGAAAACAACTCAAGTGACGGCAGCCCTGTGGCCCTGGCTTTCGGGAAGGAAATCTCCTCCGTGCACGTCTCACATCCTTGAGCACCCTACCAGGCATGTGAGGACTCAAGCAGGCGATGTGTGCTCCTGAAGCACTCTGTGGGCTTCAGCTGGGGCTTCAGGAACTGCTGAAGGGACAACGGGACAAACTTCCATGACCACCTCAGCAAGAGCATGCTTTTGTTCTCAGAGGAGCAGATGTCGAAGGAACATGGCTTCTATTAGACTCAGGGCCTAGAATGGCCTCCCGCTCAATCGTTTGCCAGCACTGTCCCTGACAAGCCCGTGTGGCCACCTCAGGGAGACCAACAGCAGGGGGATGGCTTCTAGTAGTGAATGCTTCTAACGAGGTTACAGAGCCCAGCAGCCCGAAGGCTGTGCATAACCCAGAGAGTGAAGTCATGCGCCAGGGGAAATTCTCCACACAGCAAGATTGCTAGGGTGATAAAGAGCTGAAAGCTATTCCCCACCTCAGCGATTTCAGCAGCACAGCCCCGGAATGAGCTGACGCCCTATAGCATCCACCCAGCACCGTGCCCAGCAAAGCCAGGGCACCTGCCAAGCCAACTTTCTCTGCACTGTGACAAGAACAGATGTGCCACAACAGGCCAGGAGAAGCTTGAGAAAGAAAGAAAGAAAGAAAGAAAGAAAGAAAGAAAGAAAGAAAGAAAGAAAGAAAGAAAGAAAGAAAGAAAGAAAGAAAGAAAGAAAGAAAGA